TCCCTCCACAAGACAGTACACAATCTGATATAGGCTCTATATACACATTCCCTTGAAACATATTTTCACATTAGTCATGTTGTAAAGAAGAATTAAAACCAATAGGAGTGACGAGGTTTAGAGGTTTAGGGGTGTTGGGACCCCAATATCACAACACACAGATCCTGCTGGAAGGAATTCAACCCAAACCTTCTTTCAGCCAAAGACAATGCTTCTTAGAACATCCATCATATTGGGCAGTCTCTTAAGGAGTCTGAAGATTAGCAAACTTTTGGCTAGATTATAAGAATCTGAGCAGTGGCTAGATTTTAAGAATCTAAGCTTCTTAATGGAGACAAGATGGATCTTATATACAGAAAGACTGTGGGAGGCATCTAGGAGTGCCAAGTAGTTTGGGGTGACTGGAGCTAGGAGCCTAGCTAGGATTAAGGGTGGGAAATGGCTGGGGCCAAATGGAGATAAGACAATCCAGGGCTAGGCTAGGTTAAGGGTAACAGAATTGGGAGATTGGGTGTAGCCACAATGAAAGGCCAAGTGATGGGATTATAGCCTCAGGGGAAAACAAGAGATTTGGCCGTATGGGAAAGTCCAAGGTTTTTCCTTTCTGGGATCTAGATCCCATCCTCATCCAGAGGAACCACAAGAAGGAGAAAACAAAACAAAACAGAAGAAAACAAAAGAGCAAACGGTATGCTTCAATCTATATTGAAATTCCATAATTCTTTCTTTGGATGTGGATAGCATTTTCCATCATGAGACTTTTGGAGATGTCTTAGATCCTTGCACTGCTGAGAAGGGCCAAGTCTATCAGAGTTAGTCATCACACAACGTGGCTGTTACTGTGTACAACGTTCTCCTGGTTCTGCTCACTTCACTCAACAACAATCCATATAAGTCTTTCCAGGTTTTTCTGAAGTCGGCCTGCTCATCATTTCTTATAGCACAATAGTATTCCATTACATTCATTTACCACATCTTGTTCAGCCATTCTCCAATTGATGGGCATCCTTGGTTTTTCTCTTGGTCAAAAGGGACATAAATTAGATAGTGAAGGATTAGGTAGCTGTATGAGTGGAAAAACCATAATCTGGCCATTTTAATCAAAAGAGTGAATTTGGGATTGTAGAATGAACCAGTTATCAAAGGATCATAGATTGAGCCTCAGACCTCAGAGGTCACTGAGTTCACCTTTATTTCACTGATGAGGAACTGAGGCTCAGATTGGCTAAGTGATTAGCCCAAATCAGTTAATATTTAATATACTGTATTATACAGACAGTAAACAGCAGACCTGAAATTTGAACCCAGATCCTCAAACCTCATATGCAGTGTGTTGGAAGCCCAGAGATAAAGATTTGAGTTCTTACAGTGTGATATTATTGGTGAATCCTTCCTAAATTGGGATGATCTCCCTTAAAAGGGAGGGGATGCCTTCCTTGGCATTTGGTTGGTCTGGAGGACTAGGGTCTGAATCATTGACTTAGCCTTATTGTCCTGGGGCCTTAAGGCCCCAGGCTAGGGGGAACTGGGATCCTGGAGGTTTGGTGGAATTCCCAGTGCCCTGCTAGATGTCTTTCTGATGGAAATCTCTGTTCATCCTTGCCTCCTCACCCCTAGTAACTCTGCCTGTCTAATCTATTTGTGGCATTTCTACTTCCACAAAGCCTTTTCTTGATGTCCCCTTCTCTCTACTCACATAGCCATCACCCTAGTTTAGGACTTCATTGCTGTTACCTCGACTTTTCCAAAAGCCTCCACTTTAATCCAATCTCCACTTAGCAGCTAACATGATTTTTCTAAAGCATGGTTCTGACAATGTTACTACTCAGCTCAATGAGCTCGATTGGCTTCCTATACCTCTAAGATAACAATTTGTATTTAGATTTTTTAAAAAAATTCAATTTTATTTCACTATTAGTACCAAATTCTCTCCCTGCCTTCACTTCTCCCTCACCCATTTTGATGGCAAGAAATACAATATCCATTATACATATGTAGTTATGTAAAACATTTCTTCATTAGTCATGTTCCCATGGGGGAAAGAAAAAACAAGAAAAAGAAAGAAAGAAAAGTTTCAATCTGTACTTTGAATCTATCAGTTCTTTATCTGAAGATGGATAGTATTTTTCATCAGGAGTCCTTTCAAATTGTGATGGATCATTGTATTAATTAGTTAATCAGTTTCATAGTTGATAATCTGTACAATATTGTTTGTTAGTGTAAATTGTTCTGCTTCTGCTCACTTCATTTTGTGTGTTCATTTCAGTCTTCCCAGATTTCTCTAAAACTGTCCCCTTCATTTCTTATAGCACAATTGTGTTCCCTCCCATGCTATAACTTCTTTAGTCATTCCCCAATTGATGTGTATCTTCTCAGTTTCCAATTCTTTGCCACCACAAAAAGAGTTGCTGTAAATATTTTTGTATGTGAATCCTTTTCCTTGATCTTTTTGGGGCTGTAGGTAGTGATATTGCGGGGCCAAAGGGGATGCCTAGTTTTTTAATAGAGTTTTGGGCACCAGGATAAAGTTACCTGCTTGGTCTTTAAAGCTCTTGGGAGCCTGGCCCCTTCCCACATTTCCAGTCTTCATTACAGTGACCCTCTATGAATGCTAATGATTTGGGCACACTGGCCTACTCTTGCTCCTTGAGTGTGGATGAGATTCCATCAACTATCTTTGCTTTTCTTCTAGATATTCCTCTTGCCTGAGGTGCTCTGCTCTCTCTCCTCTGCCTCAGTTTTCTTGACTTCCTTGAAGACTAAGCTTAAATCTCATCTCCTGTAGGAGACCTTTCTCAGTCTCCCCAGGTGCTAGTGATTCCCTGCCTCAGATGACCTTCCATACACCCTGTATGTATTGTGGATGTAGCTAGTAAGCATTTATGGAGCACTTTAATGACTGCAAAGCTCTTTACGTGAATCATCTCTTTTTTATCTTCATAACAACTTTTGAGATAGGTATTATTATTATCATCATTTAAAAGATGAGCAAAGGCAGGCTGAGAGAGGTCATGTGGTTTGCCCAGGATTACACACCTGGTAAGTATCTGAGCGGAGATTCAAACCCAACTCTACTTGACTCCAGGACCAATGCTCTGTCTATTACAGCAGGTTGCCTCATTATCCTTGCTTACAGAGCACCAGTGAGGGGAACTCTATCACCCCTCACCTGAGTGGACAACTGCCCATTTCAAGTTTGAATAAGTCTTATCTAAAGTCCTTCCCCCCTCCCCACTGATATCACAATTTGCTTGCCTGCATCTTATATCCTTTGCTACATACTTGTTGGGAAATGGCAAACTGCCTGGGATGGATGGCTATCTGTGTGACATCAGGCCAATCACTTAATATCTTTGGGCCTCAGTTTCCTTATTTATAAAATGAGGAGGTTAGATTAGATAGTATCTCAAATCCCTCTACCTTTAAATCTATAATCCTGTGATCCTCTTACTTGGTCACATTGTTTGAATCAAATTATTCCATTTCATGGATAAACCCCAAGTTATTTTCAGACTCTAAAGTTGCTTTCAGATTTTTGAAATTAGATTGAATTAGCCAAAATTAATTCGGCTAATTTTTCAACAGGTAACTCTTTCTTTCTGGTATATTTTTGGTAAAATGAAACTGAGTTGAAGAGTATAATTGTCTGTGTTACTTTTACTATATGATATTAGGTTTCTCTCCAAAAATATTATATAAGTAAGCAAATACATGAATAATGAAATGAGTGTAGTTATTCTCCACAACCCCACCAGCATGTAATTTCATTGCTTTTAATTTTTTTGCAAAAAAGATTCTATAATTTAGCAAATACATGAATAATGAATGAGTTTGTCTATTTCTCTATAACCTTGCCAGCATTATTTTTGCCAATTTCGTTGAAGTAATGTGGTCCCTCAAAGTTGTTTTAATTTGTATCTCTTTATTAGTGATAATAATTTTTTCCAAGTGATTGTTAACAATTTGTGTTACTTCTTTTGAAAATTTTCTGTTTATATACTTTAACCATTTGTGAATCACAGAAATAGAACTGGAAGAAATCTCAGAGTACTTTTGGTTCAGTCCTTTCATTTTAATTTGGTAAAAATCAATTTTACAGGTAAGGAAACTGAGGCCCATGAAGGTCTAATCAGTTACCTAGCAATACAGGTAGTATCAGAGGCAGAATTTGAACCTGGATTCATGAAGGCTATGATTGGTGGCTCTCGGGCTAGTGATCTTTCCAATGCAATCATTCAATCTCCACTTATCACTTACTGAGTCCTATTTTTTTTTTTAATGTAGTGGCATTTCTCTTTATTTCTGACTCCATATTCTCTTCTCTAGTCAAGTTACCACCACAACGGAAAGCTCCTGGGCATACAAACCTAATCTCATAAGGAGTTTAGACTCAGAATCTGCAATATTGTCCTGTGTTTGAGCTGGTCCCTAACTCCAAAAGGCAAGTGGAAGCCAAGAGTGAATGCCAGGAAAGGATGGAGAGGGGAGACACACTGTGAGTCAGAAGTCCCCATAATGGAGAGAACAGCATCTACAGTGAGGCCTGAGCTGGAGATCTGCAGGAATAGTCCAGTTTTCACTTTTGAATTTCATATATAATTGCCTTGTCTTCTTGGCTGTGATTGGTGAGAATGAACCCAGGAGGAATGGAACAAAAGGAAAGTCATAGTAAGGATTGGTATTATCATGAATGTTTTTTTTAATTAAAATAGCCAACAGCAATTAGATAGAAAGAGAAATATGTGAGTACAGAGAGAACATCACAGTCTCCCTAGCTCCACAACCACTTCTTCCTGCTAGTCAGTACTTTGTGCCTTGCATGAAATCCCTCTCAATCCAGGACCTAGGGGGCTGCAAACACCCTTTGACTGGAGCAAACGAGAGACCTGAATTAATCTTTACCGAAGTGCCTGGCCCTGGAAGAGCCCTGTCGTCCCCATCTCAGGCCTCAGGTCACGGCCACACTTGTCAGACGTTAAGCAGACAACTTGGGAAGCAGGCTAGGACAGTTGTAGAGTGAGGAGGAAGAGAAGCTTAGAGGGCATTAAGCTAAAGGTGTTTGATTTAATTGTCCTTAAGATCCAGTCGGTGTGCACACTGACGTTGGTGAAGACACTAGGCCTGTAGGGTCTACCACAGCCATCTCCCCAGCTCACAATACCTGCTTGATGCCAAATACCCTTGACCTCACATGCCAAGGGGCCTCCAGAGTCACCCTGGGGGAAGATAGAGAAAGTAAGTCACTCTAAAAGGGTAGTCATGGGAAAAGAGATTTCCTAGAGTGGAGGAAAGAGGTGAAGAGAGGCAGAATATGAGGGTCAGTAGTTGGCAATTGCTGTATCCAATTTAGGGACCCTAACAGAAATGTAAAGTGAAGGGCAACCAACGGCCCATCTCACCTTACAGGCATCCTTCTTGCCCTCTGCAAAGCCAGCACATATCATGTCATCATATATCCTGGATATAGAAGGAGAAATGTTTGTTCCTATATGATAGTACAGGTCACAGGTCTTTTGATCAATGAGAGGCAATTCCACAGCCTGTAGGTACCAGGATTTTCTCCATTCTGCAGATGTGGGAACAGGAAAAGTCATAGTTAGGGTCAGAGATGAACCTAGGGCAGTATCAAGGCAGGTGACTCTGGGGTGAGGTGGCCAAGATGTGGATGATAAGGCATTGATTGATGTTAACAAAAAAATTTTTTTACTTTTTTTTTTGGTGAGGCAATTGGGTTAAGTGACTTGCTCAGGGTCACACAGCTAGTAAGTGTTAAGTGTTTGAGGCTGGATTTGAACTCAGATCCTCTTGACTCTAAGGCCAGAGCTCTATTCACTGTACCATCTAGCTGCCCCAACAAAAAATTTTTAAAAGACCAAATCATTCAAAACACTAAATAAACCAACCTTTATTTACGGGTAGTTGCAGAATGTGTGTTTCAATCTTCCCATTATAATATGGGTTTTTCAGAAACTCTGAGAATTAAGTCTGAGAACACTTTGGCCTAAAAAGTGAAGCTACTCATTGAGGTTATAGGATAAAGGCCAAACTCTCACTGTACCATGTAAGGCTCATCCCAGTATGGTCCTCCATCACCTTTCCATCCATATCCCAGGCTGCTGCTGTTCCCTAACATTGGCAGGCAATGCAAATTCACCGCCCCCCCTTCTTTTCCCCCACCCAGGTTTCTTGCAGACTGTTGGAGATTTAACAAAAGGAGTGGAGTAACAAAACAATATATTCCATTGGTACTCAAAGGGTGCTGGAAAAGCATCCCATTTCCCTTTTTATCCAGTCATCCAGAATCTCCAAGTTTCCCTGGGTTCTGGGAAAGCAAGGCATTTCCTTCCAGATTCTTTATTGTGTGGTAACAACCTGAAAAGAACTAAACCCTTTCTCTTGAGTTTTCTGACACTCAGCAGAAATTCTCTGGAGTGGGCTAATTAAGGAAGTATTTTTACTATGAAAACCTGTTATTTCATGTACTGTTGGAGTATAGGGCACTGGGAATAAGACTGGGACTAGGGTAAGAAGTCCTGAATTCTGGCTTCATCTATTGACACTTGCTAGCTTTGGAAGCCTGGCATGTTGTCTAGTTGTTTTCAGTCATGTCTGACCATGTTCCTTTTTTTGGGGTTTTCTTGACAATGAAACTAAGGTGATTTGCCATTTCCTTCTCCAGTTGACTTTACAGATGAGGAAACTGAGGCAGACAGGATTAAGTGACTTGCCCAGGGTCACAGAGCTAGTTGGTATCTGAGATTGGATTTGAATTCAGGTCTTCCTGATGCCAGATCCAGGGCTCTACCCACTTCACCACCTAGCTGCCCAGAACCCTGGGTACAAGCTATTTAATGGCTCAGTCTCAGTTTGCTCATCTGTAAGATGGGGGTGATTATGCCCATCTCACCTGCTTCCTGTAGCTTCTAAAGAGATGAGTCATGAAGACTGTAACATGCTGTACAAATGGGAGGCATTATTACTATTAGGAAGGAGAGGAAATGGAATTAACCAAGCATATCAACAAAGGACCAAAGAAAATAAAGCAAAAGATTGTGTCGATGGGAAATTAAAAGCATATTTCCTTTGTAGTGGGTACAAAGTGGATGGTCTGACTTGGGAGAGAAATGAGCTGGCTCTATTGTAGATGTAGGTTAGGTCAGGGGTCACCAGGTACAATCATCTTTGTAACTGTCCTCACTTCTGCCTTCCTTTGTTTTTCCCCAGCCAGTCACCCAGCACATGGTCCCATTTTCAAAGACTGTCTTGGAGGGTGGGATGCAGATGGGTTGAATGGTCTTCTTGAAACGAACTGGTGATCTCAGCTTTACTAACGCGATGTCCTTGGGTGGCGTGCCATAAAAGTGGGGATGAATGATAATTTTTTTCACAGAGTAACGTATGGGATGAAATAAATGGGATTGCGTTGGTAGTATAGTTGTTGAGCCTAGAAAGATCTTCCAATGTCTGGTCTTTCTTTTACTAAAAGGGGAAAAGGAAGAGAGTAAGTATGATGATGATTTCAGGGCCACTGTGTTTCAGGTACATAAGCTCTCAGGATTAAGAAGTGGAAGGGATATTAGAGATATTTTAGTCTATGGCTCTCATTTTACAGATGAGAGAACTGCAGGACAGAGAGGGTAAGTGATTTGTCTGAGGTATCATAAGGATCCTGCAGTCTTGGAGGGAGCTGTCAGCACTGATGCAGTAGGGATTGCCAAGACTATGAGTGATGGTTAAACCCTGGACTAGGGGAAGCTTTTTAAGGTAAGAGAGGCTGGCCTTATAGAGCTGGTAACCCTGCACCTGTTAGTATTTGAGGGGTCCTTAGTAGGTCCCTACTCCAAATTTCTTACCTACATAGTTGTCATAGTGCCTGAAATTACACTTAGTACAATGGAAAGCCTGCTGAATATGGAGTTGAGATCCATTTCTGACATTTACTAGCTGTGTGACCTTGGGCAAGTCATTGAACTTTTCTGGTCCTCAGTTTCCTCATCAATAAAATGAAAGGCTTGTACTAGGTGACCTCTAAGGTCCCTTTCAGCTCAAAATCTGTGATTTGTGATCCTGTTTGGGCTTTTCATTTCTTTGGGCTTGAAAGGGTTTGGCTCTCTGGATCTATTTAATAAGTATTGGTTAAGTGCCTACTAGATGCAAGGCACTGTTCCTAACGGACACAGAAATATTCCTTTGTGAGTGTTGGAGGGAGTATGAAAGGATGGAGGGAGGTTCAATGACCTTAACTTTCTCAGGTCACTGTTTTGTGGGGATTTGTTGAGAGCTAATTGAGAGCAGGGGATTATAGGAATTTGAAATGGGACTTGCATGGAAGGGGCTGCGGGTGGGATGCAACAAGGGCTGCAGAAACTGGGGACGTTTCTTTTTCCATTTTTTTTGAGGCAATTGGGGTTAAGTGACTTGCCCAGGGTCATACAGCTAGTAAGTGTCAAGCGTTTGGTCTGAGGCCGGATTTGAACACATGTTCTCCTGACTTCTGGGGTGGTGCTCTATCTACTTGCACCATCTAGCTGCCCCATTCTTTTTCCATTTTTAAGAATCCCTTATTACTCAGTTGTCTGTGTTTTCAGATGTCCTGAGTCCCTCAGT